AAGAGGGAGGAAGCGGGAGGAGGGGGAGGAGGACGGTGGCAGCTCAGGGATGCATGTCAGACTTGACCACTCCCCACGGGGCAGTGAAAGGCCAGGCGATACGGCCCCAGACTTCCAGCAGCACCACTCAGAGGTGCCTCCGTCCAGACTGGGCACGAGTGCCTTGGCTACAGAGGCCCTTCCGGGGTGTGCCCTGGGCTGCCCAGATCTACCCCCTGCACACTGCCTGCATCCCATGGCCCGGCCCCCTGGTCACAGCGTGGCCCAGCGCTGGCTGTCCCGGCTGCAGAGCGCCCGGCAGCCCAGCTCAGCTCTCCCTCACCCCGCTGTCCCCAGCAGGCATGTGGCTGCCCTCCTGTGCATTTGGCCTGGGACTGCAGTTAAGTGAGCAAGAGAAAAGTGTCCGGCATTCATGGCTGTTCCCAGGAAAACAGAGCCCAGCTGTCCCGGAAGAGCCTGCTCTGAGGTACCAGGGCACAGGGCCGGGGGGCATGGCAAAGGCACCTGGTCTTTATGGGGGGTGCTGGGTGTTTCCATCAGTTCTGTGAGGCGGAGGCAGGCCACCTGTCCAGAGCGGGGGGCTGGGGGGGAGTCAGGAGGGCCAGCAACTCCACTCCCAGAAACTCCACAAGAGGGTCGAAACACTGAGTCACAGACTGATCCCCCAATTCACACTTGAAGCTCTGACCTCCAATGTGCTGGCATTTGGAGGTGGATCCTTGGGGGTGATTAGGGCTAGATGAGGCCATGAAGATGAGGTGAGCTAAGAAGGTGTGGTGACTGGAGCGCCATCTCTAGGCTGGGAGAGGAACAGGCCAGAAGGCGGCTGTCTGCAAGGCAGGGAGGGAGCCCCCATGGGAACCCAGCTCTGCTGGCACCTTGATCCTGAGCTTCCAGCCTCCAGAACGGGGAGAAATACATCTCATCCCCGTGGTCTAAGCCGCCCAGTCTATGGTATTGGGTTACGGCAGCCCAAGCTAAGACAATGCGTCTGCATAAAAACTCATACACAGATGTTCACAGCAGCATCATCCATGACATCAAAATGTGCAAACAGCTCAAATGTCCATCGATTGGTGCATGGAGAAACAAAAGGCAGTGCATCCATACAACGGAATATCACTTGGCAACAAAACAGCATGAAACGGCGACACAGGCCACGGCACAGAAGCACTGGCAAGCACTGCCAGCCCTCAGCCTGAGGGAGATGGGGCTGGGAGCACAGTATCACCCAGGGACTGGAGTGGTGAGAGGCTGGCAGGGAGTGCCGAGGAGGGATGTGGGGACCGGTTGGAAACTGAGGCTTGGGGGATGGGAATTAGCAGCGGGAAAGGGAGGGGGGCAGGCAGAGCGACTGTCGCTGGGCACAGCTGGTATGCAGAGGTGGAGGCCGCTGGGCCCACCCAAATGGGAGAGACCAAGGGGGCAGATC